ATATAGGGACATGCAAATTAAAAACTACAGTGAGATACCACCTGTGAGAATGACACATGTAAAACAAACAAACAAACAACAACAACAAAAAAAAATGGCAAGTGTTGTAGTGGGTATGGAGAAAAAAGAAATCATATTATGCTGTTGGTGGGAATGTAGACTGGCCCAGCCCCTGTGGAAAGAAGTGTGGAGATTTCTCAGAAGACTAAATATAAATTAACAGTATAAACCAGCTGTTCCAAATCTTACATTGCCATAGTCCCAAAATAGTATATTCCCTTCCTTTATATAGCCCATCTGTTTTAGAAAAAAAAAAGTCTCATAAAAATTCTCAGAGCATTTTTATATGATAGTCTAAATTCCAATTATCAAAATAAATAATTTGACAAAATTGGTTAATACTTCTTGTTAATAGCTATAGGTCTTTGCCCTATTTTTATGATAAAAATATATAAAACAAGCATTTAAAACTATAGAAATGCGAAATTGTGTTTAATCAATTCAAGTTATAATTCTGACAAATGATGAGTCTATTGAAATTTAACTTCTAAAATTGTTAGTTATTTTAAGATTTTGTTTTAGAATCTGTAAAGTAGTGGATATTCATTTGATAATTTTTTTTAAATAAGATTGAATCATCGGTTTTGGAGTGTATGTATATGTACCTTTAGATGTGATTGTGTGTTTGTGTATCTTTACGTACAAGTTTATAGAGTGTCTATATGTTTCATGTTAGTAAATATTCATTTTTCACTACATTCAGAATAACACTACTATTAAGGTATAAGTGGTTATGGCAGCAGGCTGGTATATTGTGAGCATTCTTGAGCTTTGTTAGTCTGCTAAATTAATTATATATGACAATTCTCAATTATACACCACTAAATTGGCAAAAACTTACTCAGGATCCTCTGAGCCATATTCTGCACAGTCCTCAATCTGGAGCCCTTCCTTGCTAAGCTTGTAAAGCCTAAATTTAGTAAGAATTCTCTACTTCTATGTAGAGAAAATCCTGAACTTTTATGTTGGTTTGCAAACAGGTCCCATTCACAGGGCAAGGAGACACAAAACAAAGAAGCAGACTACTCTGAACTAGTAGGTACCAGTTTTATTAAGCAAGGAAACATTTTTTAATTTATTTTTATAATTCATATTATTTTTACATGTTGTTCATTTGTGTACAAGTTTGATTTCTCCTCTCAAGTGAGAGGAGAAAACTTTCTGAGGAAATTTTTTAAAATTTCCACCACCAAGATGCACCTGACCTATATCACAGAGTCTCTGTATTCTTCCTCCCCTGTTTTGATCCCTTGTTCTCTCCTTCTCTGATGGATGTTTCTGATTTATAGTGGATGTTTCTGATTTATAGTTTGTCTGCTAATATTCTCTCTCTCTCTCTCTTTTTTTTTTTTTTCCTTATCCCTTGCTTGGTTGCCCTATATTCCTCCTGTACGTGAGACCATCTGATATACTTTCTTTTTTCTTTTTCCTCCTGACTTACTTCTCTGAGCATAATTCCTTCTAGCTCCATCCATGTTGCTGCAAATGGCCTGAGTTTGTCTTGTGTGTGTGCGTATATATATAAGTAAGAAGTGTGTTTATTTTTTTAATATATTCATGACATTATTCTTCATTTTTTACAATGAAATTCCCAGCACAAATTCACCCATGCACCATCACTACAGTCCCTTGTGCTCTTCCCAATCCTGTCCTCATCCTTCTCCCTCCTTCTCCCGGTAGAATGTCTCTTATCGATAGTTGCCTGATGATTTTGATTTTTACTTTATTATACTTTTTCCTGATTCTTTATTTGATTCTCTACATTCCTTCTATAAGTGAGAACATTCAGTATTTTTCTTTTTCTTTCTCTTCCAGCTCTATCCATGCTGCTGCGAATGGGATGAATTTGTCCTTTTTTATTTTTGTGTAATAGTCCATTGTGTAAATATAATGAGTTTATCTCTTTTGATCACCAAGCAGTATTCAACTGTGTATATATATCACATCTTTATCTAGTCATCTGTTTTGGAGTATTAGGTTGTTTCCATATCTTAGCTATTGTAAACGCTGCTGCAATAAATATAGGAGTGCAGCTTTTCTTTCAAGTTAATATTTTTGTGACCTTTCAGTATACTCCTAACTCCACTTTTTAGTAGTTTGAGGATTCGCCATGCCTTTCCATAATGGTTGGACCATTTTGCATTCTCATCAGCAGTGCAGCAGAGTTCCTTTTTCGTAACATCTTCACCAGCATTTGTTGTTGCTAGGTTTTTATTTTAATAAGGGCCATTCTCACTGGTGTAAGGTGGTATCTCAGTGTGATTTTGATTTTGATTTCCCTGATTATAAGATATGTGGAGCATTTTTTCATACATTTGCTGGTTATCTGCATTTCTTCCCTGGGAAAGTGTCTTTTTTAGTTCTGCCCATTTTCTGACTGGATTGCTTAAACAAGGAAACTTATTTAAGAGGTTTGTCAAGGGCAATGATGAGATAAGTAGAGCCCTGCACCCACCTCCCTGAATATTTAAAAAAAAATTTTTGACTTACATAATTTATTCCTTTATATTTTTAGTTTATATGTTTTACATTATTCTTCATTTTGCATTTTTTTTATCTCATTTGTAACCCCGTGGACTTCCCACCACTTGAATATTGAAAAAAATTTTAAGGAGACCTTTCTGGGTTCAGTCCTATACATCATCCAGAGAGTCACACATCATCCAGAGAGTCACAATATCTTATGTTTATAAGACAGGTTGTGTTGGAGTGGTGAGCAGAAAATAAACCAAGAAGAGATAATGTGACTCTGATTAGTATGAAAGTCCAGCTCTCTAGTCAACAAATGCTTGTATGCCCTCATATAAAGGCATACAAGCCCTTTAGTATCTGATAAAATTCCTAAACTACTATTCTTACAGTTTAATCGCTCTGGTTTGCCTTTGGCTATAATCCATTTAGGTCAGTGTAGCAAAATTTCTACCAACCCTTAATGTCTCCCCTTAGTAATATTCCAGCCATAATACCATCCCAAGCCTGCTGCTCCTTGGCTACAAACCCCTGTTTGTTCTAATTATATTGGTAATTGAAACTAGTTCTGTACCGGTGTATCTTTTGTCAATTTTAACCACTTAAACTATGGTCAAGCTATAGTTTTTTTTTGTTTTCTTGTTTGTTTTTTCTTTGTTTTTTGGTTTGTTTTTTTTTTTTTTTTGGTAATAGGCTACTTATTGTCTGAATTAAAAAGTAGTAACATACAATAAAATCCAAAAAAAAAAAGGATAAAGATTACACTTGAAGTAATTATTGTCAAGAAAATAAGTAAGTATACATTAATTGTTAATCAAAGAAGAAAATACACAAATATCCAAATAGTGAATTAAAACAAGTAATGATGTATGTGAATATTTTGTCAAACTTTCCATGGCTCATCTTTGATAGTTTTATGCTTACTATGCTATTATTTTTTTATTGAGGTAACAAACGTTTACAACACTGTATAAGATTTAGGGATATAGTTTCTCAACTCTTGAGATGCATGTTTGCACACCACATCATGTCATCACCAAACTATTGTACTCCTCCACTATCCTCCATTGGGTCCCTTCTTCCTTTTCCTCCCCAATTCAAAGTTCCATCTCTGGTAGTCTTAATTCTGCAGATTTCTAGCATTGTTTTAGTTTTACTTTGTCTGTTCCCTTATTTTTGTTTATATTCCACAGAGGAATAGATCACCCAGTGTTTATCTTTCCCCTTCCTACTTACCTCATTTAACATAATCCCCTTCAGTTCATCTGTATTGTGGGAAATGACCAGAGTTCACTGTTTGTTTACCTGAGGTGTATGCCATTGTGTATTCATATCACATTTCTTTAACTGACTCATCTGTCATGAACCAATTAAGGTATTATTGCTTTATTTATTTTTTAATTTAGGAATGTTTTGACACCAAATACAATATTGAAGCAAGACTGTGATCTGATTTTCTCTCTATCAGATGACATGACAAAGTTATTTGGTATATTCATTCTGTTGTTGACTAAAAAACCGTTATTTTCTGCTTTCTGAGTAGTCTTCCAGACCCTAAGCAGACACTTTTCTCATTCACAAGAGTAACTTTTGTGCTTAATGTTGACATTGCATATTTCATTGCTTTTAAAATTTAGTTATCTTTAAAACACTAAAATTCCTTTTATTTTTATTATAAATATATTTTCAATCTAATTGGCCAGTAACTATGCTACAACTGTTCTTGTTCTTCAGATGGCGGTACTAGTACCATAACATTTGTGGGTTGTTTTCTGTCTATCAAATAGATACATTGAAATCTTAACACTTCCCCCACAAAGCAGTGCATGTGATCATAGTGATACAGGGTGTTTGCAAATGAAGACAAATTAATATAAATTCAAATTGTGGCCCTCCCTGGTGGCTACAGTGGGTTAAAGCACAGCACTGAGAAGCTAAAGCCACTTCAGCATGTGTTTGATTCCCCACCCTGGAGGTGACCCACATGGTGCAGCAGACCTCTCCTGACCAGCTGGCTTCTCCCCTCAGCAGTGTACTTTGTCAATCTGCCTATTCTGCTCCCCACTCTGCCTCTGGTGAATCGTCTCACTGCCCCTGCACCTCTGGCCTGTACCCCAGTTCTATATGCATAAATAAATAAATCTAAAAAAAAACAAATTGTATTTAAGATGGATTAGGAGATACTTATCCCAGGACTTTAGAAGTTTGTCCTATTACATATCTCTAAACCTTAAATAATAAAAATATTATTCCTTAGGAATTTAGGTTCAAGATTATTATAATCTTTGCTTTATAAATACTTTATATGTAAAATTCATTTCAAAAGTTAGCACCTCTCCCTCTGAAGTGAAAAAAAAAAATAGTACCAGTGTATATAACCAGGTCAAGGTATGACAAAGAAAAGTTTCTAGGTTTGAATATCTATAATAATGAACAGCAACAATTAACAAGGGCTCTTCACAATGTGTCACTTAAGAGATCTTCCTGAAATTCACTAACTGACTACATACTCTCTTCATTGCCACTTTCATTTCTTGATTCCTGAATGTGTAAATGATAGGATTGAGGAAAGGAGTGATAATTGCATCAAAGATGGCCAGAAATTTATCAAGGTATATAAAGGGAGATGGCCATGTATAGAAAAATATCAGTGGACCAAAGAACAAGACTACCACCGTGATGTGAGCTGAAAGTGTGGACAGAGCCTTGGAAGAACCACCTGAAGAGTGCTTCTGAACAGTGAGAATGATAACAACATAAGAAATAAGCAATACAATGAAGGAGCCAACTGAGATGAATCCACTGTTTGCTGTGACCATGAACTGTAGTCTGTAGGTGTCTGTGCAGGCAAGTTTGATGAACCGAGGAAGGTCACAGTAAAAGCTGTCCAGCACGTTGGGACCACAGAAGGGTAAGTCTATCACAAAAACCAATTGAACTATTGCATGGATAATGCCTATTATCCAGGCAGCCACAACAAAGAAGATGCACATCCGTGGACTCATGATGGTCAGGTAGTGGAGAGGCTTACATATGGCCACATACCTGTCAAAGGCCATGATGATGAGCAGCACCATCTCCATACTACCAATGAGGTGGATGAAGAAAATTTGAGTAACGCAGCTACCAAAGGAGATGACTTTATGTTTTCTGAACAGGTCATAAATCATCCTGGGACAGGTGACAGAAGAAACTCCAAGGTCAATGAAAGAGAGGTTGGCCAACAGAAAGTACATGGGGGAGTGTAAGTGGGGGTCATAAATTACAGTGAGCATAATGAGGCAGTTTCCCATTATGCAGGAGACATATAAGATTGAGGAGAACACAAAAAGGAAAACTTCAATTTTCCAGGAATTGGTGAGTCCCAGGAAAATAAATTCTGTCACCAAGGAGTAATTTGCCTTCTCCATTGACTTTGTTGGCAGTGATGACTGAGGAAGAAAAAGGTGAAAATATGAATTATGATGTGATGCCTACAAATGAATAGAAGTCTTATTTATGAATTTCTATTTCCACTTTAGCATTAGACTGGCCTAATATGCCTGTGATTTCTGAAATGATATCATACATATAAACTGGTAGCTTTCATGTGGAGCTCCTTCTCACCACCAATGTGTCTACATTTAATCCCCCTCTGCTTCTTCCTAGATGTGATGCCATGATATTACTTATGAGATTCTAGATTGTCAACATGAATGACAGGAATTCTAACCCAAATCTTTAGACATTTGTTCTAATATGAACTTGTTAAAATAACAGGCTTTGTCATTAATTATAAACCCCTCTAAGCCTAAACCTTCATCTGGCAAAGAGATCAACCCTATTTTCCTGTACAAAGCCCTAGCACTGGAAATATGTTCATCCTTGAACTTACTTAAATGTTTACCATTTTATAAAATCTTCCTTTATTTTGACTAGTATTTACTTTGTTTATTGTATTACAATTAACTGAGTACTGTTCTAACTCACCAAGTAAACTTCATAAAGGCAGCAATTTATAACTTATTCAAGTGTGGATTTTCTGAAGCAATGAAAAAATGATCCAAAGAAATGTCAGGTATATAGATTAGCTATTAACAGCATAATACTATACAAGTTGCATACAGAGATTAAATGTGAGTGTTAGCAAGTTCTCTAGCAATTTGACACCCAGGTTTTTTTTTTTTTTAAAGATTATTTATTTGTACATACAGAACTGGGGTACAGGCCAGAGGTGCAGGGGTGGCAAGAGGCTTCACCAGAGACAGAGTAGGGAGCAGAACAGGCAGATCGACGAAGTACACTGCTGAGGGGAGCAGCGGGTGGGTCAGGAGAGGTCTGCCACACCATGTGGTCACCTCCGGGGCAGGTGGGAGTCGAACTCATGCGGAAGTGGCTTTAGCTTCTCAGTGCAGTGCTTTAACCCACTACGCCACCAGGGAGGGCCCAGACACCCAGGTTTTTTTATTTTGCCTTGTACTAAAGTAATCTATGAAAATCAGGAAATTAAAGAAAAAGGCTTATCTTTCAACATGGATAATTTCAGTAACACTGTCTTAGGACACTTAACATATGATCTAGAATGTTTAAAACTATGGCATGCGTCATAATCTAGTGGAAACGACTTTGTACAAAACTCTACAATGGGTTTATCTTACTCTCTTGTAATCTTTTACTCTTAGAGAAACAACACAATTTAGTAGAAAAAGTATGGGCTTGGGATTTAGATTATCAAGCTTTATACTATTGGTCTGCAATGACAGATTGATCTTAAGCAAGTGACTTAAACACTTAGAACCTCAGATGATTCATCTATGAAAAGTTTTAGTAAAATAAAGTATTACTACTTTAATTATTAATAAATGAATAATTATATGGCTACATTAGGCATTCATTAGATTTTGTTTATTTTTTTTTTGTAATATGTTTGCCCAACAAAACACTCAACACAAAACATAATGAATAATGAACAAGAAAATAAAATACTATTGATTGCAAACATCAAACTTCCACATCAGAAAAATGTCTCAATAACTATTTAGGATTAATACAGTATTCATGTTTTGTTAGTGATAGAACTTAAACTATCCTGATAATTTCAGTTGATTTGCTCTCAATGAACACTTTCTTAGTAGTACTTACCACAACTGTTATGTTTTACTATTTGTTTAATTTCTTCTTCCCAACTACGTTTCAAGCCCCATAGAGTGACAGACCACATAGGTCTTCTTCAATCCAGTGTATTGAAAACTTAGACTCACTTCAGATACAAAACCAGGACCAAAAAAATGCTGAAAAAACAGTGAATAAAATGTATTTGTTTTAATTTAGAGACGATCAGGTCATGAAAGAAAAAGGGTTTGAGAGAGGGGAATTCAGGAAAATGATGCAATATTTGTCTGAAAACAACCAGAAATAAAAAAGAATTACAGTAGTAATATTGTCTAAAATTAATGAGGTCAATTTTGGAACCTATTGATGAACACAGTTTCCCTAATTGTAATTTCTAGGAAACAAATATCAACCCCTTTTAAGTAACTTGACCCAAACCATAAATTTTCTTGGTGCTAAAACTGATGCCAGAATCTAAGTCCATTGAATTCATGCTAAGTCCTCTTCCAATTCACTGTTTTCTTTCCTTTATGTGTGACTTTCTACAATCTGCTACATGGCAGGATGATAGATGATGTTGGAGGCAAAATAAGCCCCTTGTTTAGCTGATGAGTGCCATTTTTTGACATACTGGTAACTGATACAGTGTCTCTATGATTAATCATTCCTGACAACTGATTATTCAACTAATTAAGGTACATCAGTGTTCTTAAAAACCAGATATTTTTGTGAAACTGTCATTCCTTTTGCACTAGCAGTAAGCGGTTGTAGTATGGGTAGTTTTACTAGGGACTCATGTTACAAAATGTCAGTGTGATCTGTTCCATTTATTCTCTTCCAGAGGGAACTGATAGCCTGAAGAGAGTCTAGCATAGGCTTATCACCTGAAACTTCTGTAATATAAAATTCAGGTTTTACTTTCTTCATAAACTCACTCTTCATTCCTCCAACCTGAGCAGTTTTCTATCTAGTATTTCATTTTAATACCTCATACTCTCGTTTCACCTTCTCCACTCTCTGCTCTTCTATCTGGAAAAGTTTAATACATATCTCACAGTAAACATTAGGCAATAATGTTTAAACTTCCTATCCTACCACTTCTTCATACCCTAAGCAGATCCAAAATTTCTCCTCTACATTCATATTCCTAGTTCTTTACTCATGCTCTGAAACCATAACTTTATGCATCACATTATGGGTAGTTTCATATGTAAGATAGTTTTTCCTTAATAAACTCAGTATAGCCATTCATTTTAATTTATTAGCACTTTGTCTTTTATTATTACTTAATCCTTTCTCTTGACCCATATAGAATTAATCTATCCTCCAGAAATACATTCCTAGATATTTAAATTGTGTAGATAAATAAATTATTGATGTCCAGTTTCCAGATAATAGCAAAATCAAGCTGAGAGAGAGCTAAAGATAGCTCCTGTATTTGAAAATCTAAACCATCATTCATATAAATTTCCTTCTCAATCAAAGATATTGAAAGGCTAGAATCCCCTCCCTAAACTAAATTTCCTGCTTCTTATATTTCAGATGTTCACAAAATCTCTCTTAATACTTAGGTAAAAGCCAGCCTCCCATTACTTAAAGCCATTAAAACCATTCACTTCACTTTTTATAACTGTATACAATAAAATAGTGGTTAGTGTACCTTCTGATTAAATGTTCACATATATAATCACAACAAATAATGCCCTCTTCACTTTTTGTTTCCAAGATGCAAAAAGTAGTTTTGGGGGTACATTTCCCCTTACGATCTCTTTCATATATACCTCCCCCTCTAGAAAAAAATTCACGTTTATCATCTTTTCTCTCAACCTCTTTGCCTTCCACTTACGGTTCAAAGACAAAATCGACACATAAGGTTCTAAGGTTGTAAAGCACTTAAGAGAGCAGAAAAACTAATTTTACAGCTCAGCAGTTTTCATTCTGTTTGTAAATTTCCACATATTTTAATATAACACATTGGAAATGATTTTGTCAGCTTTGGGACTTTGTTTCCCACTTCTATTCAGATACCTATAAGACTTTCCTATCTGGCAAATGTTACCATTACTTAATAAATTTCCTTTCCTTTTCACCTAAGATCATATTTTATACTTCATTTCATTTGAAAAAAAATCAGTACAACCCTGTCTTATTGATGTCTTCAATCGCCAGTTTTTTAACCTGTTTAATAAATTGCAGAGAGTGAGAATCTTTCATATATCATTATTGGCAACAGAGTTCTGACTCCAAAACATTATAAGCCATTTGACTGTCTAATCACCCTACTGCTATGTAACTATAGATAAAAGTCAACATCAGTTAAACCTTTCCAGCATGTCAATACTCTTTTCATAGTTACTCTCCACTACTAGTCAGTTGGTTACTCTGGACACTATACTCGCACAAGAAATCATTCATGCACTTGACAATATGACTCTCATCCATAGCAATTCCAATAATGGATTCACCTCAAACACTAGAGCTACTTTTGTTATTGTTAAAAATTCCTGTTCTTCCAATTTACCTGTGTAAGAAAAGAACATCTTCATGGAGTCTTAGATTTTTCTGTAACTTCTAATGCAGAGTGCCATTAAATCTTGCCATATATGGAAATGAAGTTCTTTAGGAGCTCTTTAAGAGAGAAATCAAGTGATACTATAAAGACTTGAGTTTAAAAGGAACTCATGGATCAAGGGACTTGGTCCCTAATGGACCTATTTGGTTTGACCAGAGCATCCAAATGTCCAAAGAGCTCCTAATAAAACCCTAGAGAAAATAAAAGAGTAGACTCTGCTTTGTGCTTAATATTTTTGTGCCAATTTGCCTTACATTTTATAAATACTGGTAGATGCCAATTACAAATGACAATTACCTGAAAATAGGTAAATATTAACTAAAAAATTTAACCACAACCATCTTGATCATTCCCAAAATAGCTTAGATACTTTTATTAAATTGTAGTAGTGTACATTATAACTGCATTTGTTAAGGAACATGTATTGAGTAATTATGAAGTGCACAGATATTTAGTTCACAGAAGTATATACTTCCATTACTTAACTTTTAAACTCTATTCATTGGCATTCCAGTTAAAGTAAAATTATCAGTTAAAGTAGAATTAAGGAAATTAAGTTATAGCCATACAGAGCCATAGTCTCAGATGTCACTAAAAGGCAAGTACAAACTAAATAATTAAAGAACAAACACTACACACTGCTGATTGAAACTGAATATTAAAACAGTATATCATATGCTGTTATACATTAAATTTATTTGTATCTCAATATATCCATAGTAAAACATTTTCAGTAACTACTTAGTA